GTTCTCAACCAGGGGCTAGGGCCCACTAAATGATTTTATTTTTAATTATTTTAAGATGACTTAAAATGATTTAAAATAAGACAAGAATTAAAATAACATTACTAACAAAATATTTCTTATTTTAATTCACCATCTTACCCTCAAAACAAAGTTTTTTTTTCCCCTTTGAAGAACCATGGTTCCCACCAACCTAATTTTAAAAAATACAGTTCATTAGGCATTTTTATATATATTTTATGAATATATATTTTTAAAATTATGTCTTTAATCACTGGGCAATTGAATATTGTTGTGGCCTTGGAGTCAAAAAGATTGAGAACCACTGGACTAGACAGATGGATAGATGTGTGAATCCAGGGTTATATAGTATTGATGTTAGCCTTCTAGTGTACCACAGTGCAGAAATAAACACTCCAGCCTGGAGATTTCTTTTATCATGCTACACATGTTGAAAGACCTAAACAGCTTCAGAAAATACTGCATAGCTTGACTTGAACATTGTTGCTGTTTCGTCTGTGTGGACTCTCGGGTCCATGAATCCATAGTTTGTCTCCATTTGTGATGCAGTCGGCAGTGGATGGATTGTTGCAAAACTTCAGCAGGTAGTGTGAACTAGTGATATATAGGACATGTGTTGTGTGAAGGGTTAGCCTGAGGTGCTCCAAGGCTGCTCACTACCATTTCTGACACAAACTCTGACATGCAGCTTCACAAACCATTGCCTGTCAGTGTAAGACAGTCCATGATGCAGGAGACCCTAGGGGAGCCCACCTGCATCAAATTGTGCTTGTTAGCATAGGGATAAGAACACAACTCTATTTGTGTATATATATATATATATATATATATATATTGTTTTTTATCCAATATTATAGTAGATACCAAATTTATCCTATAAGATAAATGTGCTTTCGCAACAGGGACTTATATCAGTGTCTCTAGCAAACAGTTTGTTTTCCACTGCAAATTCTTGAAGCAGACTTATAAATGAATGCATAAATAGACTTCCTGCTTAGGCAAAACGAAGCCCTTGAGAGGTTTTGAGACAAACTTGGGGAGATGTCCCACTTTTCACTCTCTTTCTCTTTTTGATTTTGAGATCAGTGAAAATAAACAAAGTGCTTTTGTTTCTTTTCAATACCTTTGCATCTGCTGCCATAATCTGTCTTTTCTTTTCAAAGAGATTTTTATAAAATCATATGTTAACACACAAAAGTCTTCAAACGTGTTTGTGTGAAAGGGAACGTAGAATTAGGGGGCAAATGAATGTTTGGAGTTATATAATGTTGGACTTGTAGATTAATCATAGCTCAGTGGAACACAGAGGAACATTCATTATTTTTCAGATTGGACATTGATTGATGCCTTTCAGATGAGTGAGATTCAACATCAGCCTCTTTCATTTACAGAATTTCAGGTCGTGCTGCTTTTGTGCACATCAATTTCCTGCATGTTTTTAACCCTGCCATGCTCATCATTTAACATCTCGATGAAGAGATCTCAGTTTGCACAAGTGCCATGTTCCATAATTGAAGATTTTTTTTTTCTTGGTTGCCTGGTTACTTGTCATTTTTGCAGATGCTTTATACATTAACACGTCAAAGACGGCCTGACTGAACAACCTGTGGTCAAGTGTCTCGCTGATGATATGGTACCGGAGGAGGATTGTAGTAAGTCTTCAAATAATGGCATAAAATAGAAGTTATTTTTCCATATCAATAGCCAAATGGCTGGTATCTGAGGAGATTGTTCAAAAATAGAAGTGTGAATTAAAATCAAGCTGTGACATGCATCAAAAGATCTTATTATCTCGCTTATTCTAATCAACAGCATTCAGTCTTCAGCTTTACAAGTATTCAGAGGCACCATATAGAGCAAGATTAAAACTCTTTTAAAGTCTCATTAGAGGACAAACCATCTCTGAAACAATTTCAAAAGGATGCTAAGGACTAACCAAGCCTTTGATTTAGGATCTAAAACACAAAGGATAGGAGCATGTGCCTCATTATTTTATTTTTATTTTTTTATTTTTTTTGTGGTGGCAATTTTTGATACAGATTTGCACATTTTTCATTCTTACAAATGATTGTATAAAGGCAGAAGTGGTTGTGATAGCTTGGTTATGCATTAAGTTTTAAGTTTCTAAGGAATCATCCAAGAGGGTTAAAACTCTGTTTATTATCTGCGTTATGCTACTTGGAACAGATACTATGACAGTGTGATGTCTTCGGAGTCAGTGGAATGCACAGAGCTCCAGAGGGGCAGGGGAGAATCCTGAAGAATCCTGCATTGTTTTTCAATCTTTGTGATACAGTATAAATGCATTTTCATGACACTTTGTTTGTAACATTACCATACAAACATAAAAGTAGGTACAGAGTTTTTAAATGCTCAGTTTTAATTATAATCTCCTTTCTACATAATTGGATCTTCTTATAGTTCAACCCAAAAGGATAATTCTGTCATTACTGAGTAACCTTTATGTCATTTTAAGACTTTTCTTTTCTTTGGTGGAACACAAATTAAGACATTTTGAAAAATATCTGTTTTTCGTCCATATATTAAATGTCAGTTGGGCCCAGTGTTGTTGACACCCTCATAATGTCATTCAAGGCTTTCTTGTTTCTGTGGAACACAAAATATCATGTTTTTTTTTTTTTTCAATGAATGGCGTCCAAAACAACACTTGGCCCAACTGACTTTTATTGTATGGACAACAAACTTTTAAAAAAATATTCTCTTTTGTGTTCCGCTGAAGAACAACAGTCTTGGAACTGTCAGAGGTGCGGGTGAGGGGATGGAGAGCAAGGACTCAATTGCAGGAAAGAGGGCTTTTTATTAATAATAAATATAAACAAAACAAACAAAAACTACCCCGTAGGGGAAACCAGGTAGGCGACAAGGCAGGACCAGACACAACCATATGGCGTTATTTTAATGACAAATGTCGAGAGCGCATTATTGTAGCGCGAAAGCACATTAATATAATGCGCGAGCGTGAATCTCTCCGCTCGCGCGCGGATTTCTTTTACTCTTGCACAAAACCGGATTAATATCTATAGTGCATGAGCACAGATATTTGAGAGTGCACAGGACACCTGAATCTTTAATCTTAAATCTTCTGATTTAAGACAGAACTATTTAGATATGGGTCAGATGCACTATTCCCTAAACCCATACTTACGATTTGGAGACCAAATATAACACTGTAATTAATTTTTCATATTTGCCATAACATTACTACATTCTATTCTATGGGTTTAATGCATTTGCAGACAATGTAATTACATGTAACTGTCATATAACTGTATATTCACTGTTTTAGAGGAGAGTGCCATTGAATGTGTAGCTAATATTAAGTGGATTTTCATGAAAAAAAAAATCAGAACTGAAAAAAACCCTCCCAATAAATGTCCAAACAGTGATGCTATTAGAGTATTTATTGTATTATATCTTGAATCATTTACATCTATTTTTGCATTTGATGTTAATTTGAGGAGTTGTTACTTATTATTGTCATCATACCAACTGAGAATTTATTGCAATGATTTTAAATTCAGTTGAGGTATCTGACATATGACATAACATTGATGTTTTATATAAAGTCTTTAGGGCCATAGGCTATAATATGTTGTTTTTAGATAAATTGCTCAGAGACCAACCAGTCGGACAGAGGTTATGTACAAATCATCCAAGCACCCAATTCCTAGCCATTTCTATAGGCTACATTTCATTAACATTGCTAAATATTAATAAAATGGAAAGAAATTAAAGATCCAACTTTGATTGTCAAAAGAATTCCAGGTTCAGTTCACTCAGCCAATTAGATTTCACGTGGTATTTTCATCGGTCAGTTGTGGAGGTCTGATTGGTTAAAGCTTAATTTATATAGTACCTTTTAAAACAGTTTTTACAAAGTAGCCTATTTTACAGAGAGATGCATATGTACATTTGCAGAAAAGATCAAAATACAAACATAAAAGAGATATAGTAAAACAAAGTAGCTACAATAACCAGTTTATGTTAAAACAAAAATACAACAATAAAAAATCAAGGAAAGGCCCTGCACAAATCTGTTTTGAGACTACTTTTTAAAAGTGCATAATGATAACTTTTGACAATGTTTTATTCAGGTGCGAAAATAATTAATATCTATAGTGCATGAGTACAGAGATTTGAGAGTGCACAGGACACAGTTTGAGTGAGAGGAGAGACACGTTTTAAGTGCGCGCACTCTCTCTGGGCGAGAGCAGCGTGTATCTGAGTGCGCGCGTCCGGTTTTGTGCGAGAGCAAAAAAAAACCCACGCGCGAGCGGAGAGATGCACGCTCGCGCATCATATTAATGTGCTTTCGCGCTACAATAATGTGCTCTCGACATTTGTCATTAAAATAACGCCATACAACCAGGGTTGATACAACAACAAACTCGCACAGAACTGCAAACACAAGGGGAATAAATAGGGAGCAAATGAGGAGCTCAGGTGGGGCAAATAAACCAATAATCAGGTAACAGGATGGGTGGGGTCAAGACAATTGGCATGAGAGCACATGGCACACAGGAAACAAAGACAAAAGCCATGTGCTCACACAAAACAAACACAAGCACATGGCCAGCAAAACAATCACAAGCCATGTGCTTGAACAAAACAAGACACGAACACGCAGCTAATGAGAATACTCATAAGCCGCGTGTTCACACAAGACATGACAACATGAAAGCACGCAGCCAATGAAAAACACAAGCTGCGTGCTACACAGCACAAGACATAACATGAAACAAGACAACGGGAGCACGCGGCCAAACACGAACCGCATGCTACACAAGACACAACACACGCAGACAGAAGAGCACACGGCCCGAGCGAACTTGCACTTCACATTCGAAGCACACTCGAAGCCGCACGCTCACATAAAAACACGACAAGATGGGAGCGTCAGGGCTCTGTCACAAAACCATGAATAAACTAGACTGAAGTGACAGAACTCTGACAGGAACGACATGAGGGTGAGTGAAGGATGACAGAATTTTCATTTTGGTGTGAACTATCCCTTTAATCAAAATCAGAGACTGCTACTTTTGATCCCTCTTATAAGTTCTTATTGAGCTTATTTCCTGTTCCTGTAGTAAATAGGCTCCATAATAATACTATAGCAATATTTTAAAAAGAACTTTGCCTCCATTACGCTGTTCTTCAGGGAAACAGATAGCACCTCCATATGTTCAGACTTTTGCTTGCTGGAAATAACAAGAAGTGAACTTGTTATATTTAAGAATGACTAACTGGCCTCTTTAATATTTGTAAGGTCTTTCCACACTGACTGCTCATTCACAGTATCTCAAATTTTAATTGCAAATCTAAATTAGTCATCGAAACCTTTCCATTAACTCAACACGTACACGCGGTTCCAAATGCGCCGTGACTTGAGTCATAGGCTGTCATGTTTGCTGCCAAGACGAGGAGGATGGCGGTCCAGATCTGACTGTGGGGTCCATCTGCCTCACTCTAATCCAGTAACCAAACAAGAACCTCACTCTGGTTCCTTTCCTTACCCACAGTGCACTGCTGCTGAGAACATGAAGGCACTGGCAATTTACTAAAGAGCAGATTAATGCAACTTCTCCCAGAGGATGAGGTGCTGGTTAGGTTGAGAGCTTGACTTTTTGAATTAGCCTCATGGCATTGGTTGGCTTTTTAACATTGTACTATTGTGTTAAGGTGTAAATGAATGAGTTTGACATTCAGGGTATATACAGGAATCATGGAGTTAAATGTGTTATGCACATTTATCATAAACACAGCTCAAATGCTTCCTACTAGTGTGGCACAAAACATTTAGCACAGTTTTATTACAGATAAAATGCAACATGTTTCAGTACAAGCATTTCAACCAAATATAATTTATGCAACAACCAAATGTAATTTATGCAATATTTCAAACCTTTAACCTACTGGGGAAAATCAACCCATGGCTACAGTTTAAAAGCAGCCCAATTTCGTGGAAGACAACAACAACCCTGCATCCAACACCAGCTGCAGAAATGAGATTTGACTGATCACTTTGTCAAAAGTAAGGAGAGATAACTGACAAGATGTTGGAGGATTTGCTCCTCAACAGATCCCGAGCTAATTGACAAATATATTTTATTGTAAGATGTGCTCCCTTTACACAATGCGCGCGCGATCGCGAAATCGAAAGTGAAAGTAAACTGAGACTGTGAGCCCCACAAATTGATAGTGGCGCCCTGATGCGCGAAAATAATATACAATATTAGAATGTTTGCGGGAGCGGACACAAAAATCGCGGGAGCGGATGGGAGCATGCGGTAATGGTAAGAAGTTCAGCGAGAGCAGGATCAACAAGCCCCGCGCTATCACGCAGCAGCGCAGTCAATCAGTGAGAGCCGTAACAGATTAAGTCAAATCTTGCGGGATTCCATAAATAAACTACACAGAACCCCACTATTCGGACAAATATACATAATGAAAAGATGATACAAAATGTAATACCTTGGAAAATGGCATTTAAGATTTTTAAATACTTACCACTATTCGACAAATATACATAATGAAAAGATGATACAAAATGTAATACCTTGGAAAATGGCATTTAAGCCTTTTTAATACTTTTTAAGGGCCTTAATTTTCTCTGAATTGATTTATCAACTTTTAATACATTTTAAGACCCCGCGGACACCCTGAAATTGCTAAATGTAAAGAAGCAGAATAGCAAGTTTTAGGAGCACATCGAAGACATTCAGACAGGCATTTTTATGTGTATATAGTATTTTGAGGGGGAACTAGTGCCGGCCCTGGCTAAATTGGTACCTTAAATGAGATAAAACATTAACTAACTAAATTAATTAATACAACCCCTCAATTAAGTGTAGGATGTATAAAAGCTTGTTTTCACTCACAGCAAAACAAACAAGCCAAAAAAAAAAAAGCCTTTGCAAGCAAGAAAACGTCTCGGGGTACGTATGTAACCCTGGTT